ACAATTCTGAAATCATATAAGTGATTAAATAGTAAACATTGTGGAATGAATTAAGTACTTGAAAATGGAGACAAAGGAGTGAGCTCAAAGAATGGGAGCTGGGGAAATAAATGCTTGCTGATATGGGAGAGCAGGACTCCTAGGAAGGGGGGGCAAAGGAGAATAGCCCAACCAAGAGGGCTATTGATGAAGCCAGGAAAGAGGGACAGGCTGTCCTCAGGACTACTAGTGGGATAGAGGGCAGGTGAAGAATTGAAAGGAAGGATGGAAAGGCCGAGGGTTCAGCTCCATGATCCCTGAACTCCTTGTCCTAGTTTTCTCACCAGTAAAAAGTGATGACATTAGTACAGCTTAGAAGGGTGACTGTGAGATTGTAGGGGACAGTAAGGATACAGTTCCTGGAGCAGGCCTGGTGCATAGAACATGTTCAGTGGACAGGTGATATTGCTGTGGGGAGGATGGGCTGAACTCCAGAGGGTAGGAATGCTCGGTACTTTGATATGATAGGAATTAGGAAGCTACAGAACCATTTTGATCAGAGATAGGATGTGACTGGAATGAATTAATAATGGTAGCTACTGTTAGTACTTCTGTATGCTGTGTGCTTTCTATCCATTATCCACTGCCCTCAGGGAATGGAGGCTGCTTTCCTCTCTGTGGCTCAGTGAGAGGAAGTTTACACCTTGCCCAAGGCCACATGGCTTCCCAGAGAGAGGGCAGGGTTTGAACCTAAACTCACTGGCTTTTGAAGTCTAGGCTCTTTTTTCTTTTTATCAGACTGCCTCTATCTGGGAAGCCATCTCTCAGGGGCTGATGACCCCATGGGGAAGAGAAGTGGATGGCTCAGGTATTACCTTTGGTACTAAAATAGTGTAAGGCTGGTTGCAGTGGTTCACACCTATAATCTCAGCACTTTGGGAGTCTAAGGCAGGAAGATTGCCTAAAGCAGGAGTTCAGACACCAGCCTGGTGAATGTAGTGAGACCCTGTTACTACAAAAAATGTTTAAAAATCATCCAGGCATGGTGGCATGTGTCTGTAGTGGATTGATTGGGGCCAGGAGTTAGAGGTTACAGTGAGCTATGATCCCACTACTGCACTCCAACCTGGGCAACAGAACATGACCCTGGGCTCGGCACCTGTGGCTCAAGTTGCTAAGGCGCCAGGCACATACACCTAAGGTGGCAGGTTTGAATCCAGCCCGGGACCACCAAACAACAATGATGGCTGCAACCAAAAAATAGCCGGGCGTTGTGGCGGGCACCTGTGGTCCCAGCTACTTGGGAGGCTGAGTCAGGAGACTCGCTTGAGCCCAGGAGTTGGAGGTTGCTGTGAGCTGTGATGCCATGGCACTCTACCCAGGGGGACAGCTTGAGGCTTTGTCTCAAAAAAAAAGAACATGACCCTGTCTCTACAGGAAGTGGGGAGGGGAGGGAGTGTCAGTTCACAATACATGCTCATAATCCCCCCACCCCCACCCCATCCCTTTCATAAAGGAGGCACAGAGGATGGTCACACTTCAATGGAAAAAGAGAACTTGATGATTGGCTATATAGGAAAGAGGACAGGATTGAACTGAAGGTGACTGTGCTGTTTGAAATGAAGGTAGATAGGCCTGACTTTCTTCTCTTTGGGATTGGACTTCAAACAGTTCAAGCTCTGGGCCATGCACAGTGGCTCATGCCTGTAATCTTAGCACTCTGGGAGGCCGAGGGGGGTGGATTGCCTCAGTTCACAGGTTCAAGACCAGCCTGAGCAAGAGCCAGACCCCTGTCTCTAAAAATAGCTGGGCATTGTGGTGGGCACCTGAGGCAAGAGAATTGCTTAAGCCCAAGAGTTTGAGGTTGTTGTGAGCTATGATGCCACAGCACTCTACCGAGGGTGACACAGTAAGATTCTGTCTCAAAAAAAAGAGCTCAGGTACTGATAGATTCACATATTTTTCAGAAATGTAATTTTTTAATTTTTTTTTGAGACAGTCTTACTACATTGCCCTCAGTAGAGTGCTATGTCATCACAGCTCACAGCAACCTCCAATTCTTGGGCTTAATCGATTCTCTTGCCTCAGCCTCCTAAGTAGCTGAGACTACAGGCGCCTGCCACAATGCCTGACTATTTTTTTTATTGTTGTTGTTGTAGTTTAGCAGGCCTGGGCCAGTTTGAACTGGCCAGCCCTGGTGCATGTAGCTAGTGCCCTAACCACTGAGATACAGGCACTGAGCCAGAAATATAATTTTCTTCTGGGTACATACCTAGCAGTCAGTTCAGACTTCATTAATTCTTGCATGGTGTAGGCGTGGTATTGCCTGGCTGGCCATCTGCTGTTTGTCAGTATAGTCAGTGGCACCTGGGAAGTGTGACCTTAGGTAAAAGAGATTCAGAGTGTTCCTTGGGCTTAGGTCTACTTTTGTGTCTTCTAGGACAGTGCTGCTCACACTAGTGTTGAAGGACCAACTTTGAAAAAATTATAGTCTGTGTGGATTGATACTTTTGTAAAATAAAAAAATAATTACTAGGCTAAGAAACTGAAAAAGACATGTAGAATGTGAACTTTTTTATCCCTAGATTCAGCAGATATAAAATTACTCTTGTCACTGGCCATAAAAAGTTTCTAAACTCTTCCCAATTTCTGTACACAGATAGCACATTTGATTGCAGACTAATAAACTATTCATGGACTGGTAAATACTTTGATAGAAGTGATCTAACAAGAAAGTTTGTTAAGCAAATGAGTATAATCAGCAGATGCTTTGGGAATATTTACCTGATTTAAGAGTAAAAATCTTTCTGTTGGCATTTAAAATACTTGGTATTTCTTCAGTAAAGTTCCATATGGGAGGGCAGGGATGTAAAATAAATATTCCAGAAACCAAAGCTAATGTAGTTATTATGAGATCCATAACTCCCAACTGGTAGCAATACTTGGGAAAAAATAGGGGCTTTTACTTCCTCTGTTGTTTCTGAGAAAAATTGCATTTTTTGTTCATTTAATTCATATTAGAATGTTTTCTCTGTTAATTCTTGGCTAGCCTTTGAGATGATTTATATGTTTCAGTGTATAATTTTAGCTATATTGTTTTAGAAGAAAATTCCTAAGCAAACTTTAAAAAAAAAGTTTCTAGAGTTGTACATGCTGATATAGTGGTCAAATTGTTCATATTCCAAATTGGATTTTTTTTTCTAGCTGCCATTTGTATCTTGTATTTTTAGCTATTTTTACTTTTGCTGGTATTTTTTTTGTTCTGAGGTGATTTGCTTATATCGTTTCCTTAGCCTAGAATTCTCTCCCCCTGCCTTTAGGGTCTAGCTCAGGAGCTGCTTCCTTCAGAAAGCCTGTCTGCAGTGTCTTCCTCTGAGCCTCCACTGCTCACTCTGAGCCCTCTACTGACCTGCCTTCAACCTGCCTTGTGGCACAGCAGTTAACTCCCCTTCCCAGCCTCTTTTCTCCTTACTCCAGAGTCAAAATTCCCTTTTGTTTTGAATCATACTTTATATTATACTTTCAAGGCTATTTCATGTATATATTCTCTTATTTCATCCTCCAGACAATCCCATGAGGTTGGTAGAACAGAGATTCTCATCTCCATTTTAACTGAGGTGAGGCTGGAGAGTGTCCGCATGGCATGCACCCTCATTCCTTTGCCTTAGGGCTCCCAGAACCACTTATACCACTCAGGTTTTGAGTTTGCTCAAAGATGTCTGTAATTTTGAGTTCTTCTTACTCAGTTTTTATGTTTGTTATTTGAAAATCAAACATTAGAATATTCAGTACAATATGACAGGCCTCTTTGGAAGAAAAAATCTTTAGAACCTAATGGAAGGGTGGTTAGTCGAGAACTAGGGCTGTGAACCCCAGAATGGCCTGCAGAGCAATCTGGGTGTTTTTAAGGACATGTTAGTTGTCTCCACTTGTGATTTCCAAACAAGAATAGAGGGGGTGAATTACCTCCATTTCAACAATAAAAGCCCAGTATATTGGGATTACACAGACATTTCTCATGAAGAAAAGAATCCTTCTTTAAAAAAAACGAAGGGAGGGGGATGTTGAAAAATCATTTTTAACCAGTCAGAAATCATTTGCTTTTGACTTCTTCTCCTGGTCCCCTTATGGTCAAACAGACATGGGTTCCAATCCAGCATTACCACTTACTAGGTAGGTTTGGTGACTTTGACCAAGTTATTTAATGTCCCTAAACCTGTTTTCTCATCTGTAAAATGGACAAAATATTGTCTACTTTGACGGATTATAGTAAGGATTAAAGATGATGCATGTAAAGCCTTTTGAGTATGAGCTCAATAACTGAAAGTTCCCTGAAAGGTAACATGGAGGAGGGATTGTGACCCTGAAAGGAAGCCACCTGCATTTAGTTGGCTCCAGCAGTGGTTCTCAAACTTGAGTGGGCATCAGAATCACCTAGGCTTTTGAAATTTAAGCTTGCTGGGCCTACCCCTGTAGTTTCTGATCCATTGGGTCTGGGGTGGAGCTTGAGAATTTGCATTTCTGAGTTCCCAGGTGATGCTGTTGCTGCTGCTTCTAGTTTGAGGGCCACACTTTGAGAACCATTGTACTACAGGTAACTGCCTAGTGGGCATAAAGCTACCTTAGATATGTTTGAAATCTGAGCTTTTGTGTGATTAGAGTAACTCTGTTAGAAAATGCATTTGAAAATACTGAATTTAGTATCTCAAGGATTTTTCTCCCTGAAGTTCAGGAATCTTTGTTACATATATTTGTTGGCGAATAAGTTGTGAAAGTAACAGTTAAAAACATAACATGACATTATAATATAATAAACGTAATGGTCTAACAATAGCTAATTGGCTAAGGTATATAAAAGTGCTTTTATAAAATGTTAGATGAATGTTAAGTCACAACTGAAAAAATACTTTAAATAACTTCATTTTTATGATTAAACATCATAATGGAGTACAAAATAGTGTAACTAGATTTCTCATCTCAATGTGCTGTTTACTGTATGTATTTTTCTCTTTCTCCTCCAGGCTGCTGACTTGAGTAAACCAATAGATAAAAGGATATACAAAGGAACACAGCCTACTTGTCATGACTTCAACCACCTAACAGCCACAGCAGAAAGTGTCTCTCTCCTAGTGGGCTTTTCCGCAGGCCAAGTCCAGCTTATAGACCCAATTAAAAAGGAAACTAGCAAACTTTTTAATGAGGAAGTAAGTAGCACCCTATCTTAGCCATTAAGAACCCCTTTAAGAATTTATACGTTCTTACCAAAGGTAGTGGGCTAAGCCCATTTTTCATTTGCTGAGGCCTCCTTCCTAGTATTACCCAAGTTTTAATGTGGTGGATTAATATGTTGACCTGACCTTTACCTGTTCTTCCTTGGAGAAACTGTTTTGTGAATTTTTATGGAACATACTCAGGTTATAGTAGGTGCTTTAAAATGAAACAAGAAAATGTAGAATTCCAAACTTCATTCACATCACCAGAAAATTTCACTCAGATCAAAGAACTTGATGAAATTTCCTTAGGCTGCTTAAATTGTAGCTAAACCTTTTGTATGTATGTTGGGCAGGTATTGACTAAGGAGTAGTTCTTTTGCTCTTGAAAATAGTTGTTGTAAAATCACCTTTGACATAGTTAGAAATCCTGACATTTAAATTGGATCACATGACATAGCTTTTGCCAGTGTTGTAGTAAAAACTGGCCAGTGTTGTAGTAAAAACTGGAGCTTCTAATATCTTCAGTTTCATTCTGGAAGGAGCCTGAGATATCAAAGCTGTGTGTTCAAGAACATGTCAGAACTGTTAAATGTGGCAGATACAAGTTGCCAAACAGATTCTGTTTTTTAAAGCTTTTAGAGTGACTTTTCAGCCCCAAGTATTGCTATTACATATTTTAAGGTTCTTTCTCCTTTGTTTCAGTATTTTTTATCAAATGGAAAAAATAAAGTAGGCTTGCTGAGGTAGAACCCTTACTTGGTTTCAGTTTCTTCTTGTGACTCAGCCCTGATGTACAAGGCTCAGATTATGTGGGACCCCTCCCAGAAAGGATATGTGGTTTTGCTTGCACTGTTGCATGGTTTTGACATCATTCATTTGGAACAGAAACACATTATAGATTATGGTTTTTAAGAAATAATTTTGTTTGGGGAAGAACTTGACAAGCTGTAGTTAGAATTCTGATTCTTTTACAGTCATTATGGTATATGCTATCTATCTATCTGTGTGTATGTGTGTGTGTGTGTGTATCCATCCAAGGTGCTCCTGTTTGACATTGCCAGTGGATTTGGTGAAATCTTGTGAACCATGTCATCTCCTCTTCTGGTTTCATCTCAGTTGCCTGGAAACAAAATTCGCCATCTGTATTAACAGAATGTAGAGGAAAAGTATTTAATCCCATTTTCCATTAAAGAAATCCTAAGTGAGGCGGCACCTGTGGCTCAAAGGAGTAGGGCGCCAGGTTCAAACCCGGCCCTGGCCAAAAACTGCAAAAAAAAGAAAAGAAAGAAAGAAATCCTAAGTGGAAAATATTTTGTTTATCTAGATATTTTATTAATATCATCTAAGGAGTGATTTCTAAGTATGTGGATGATTTTCATGTGGGGGGGGCAAAACCTGCCTTCTCTTCACTGTTAACAGAAATTATAAATTTGAGTCATTGTGAATTTTTGTTTGTGTTTAAGTAGAGGAGAGTGTGACTGAGGGGGAAGGGATTGGAACCATGTAGAGGACTGTTGGTAAACAAGATCTGGAGGCAGCTCTCTCCGAGGATGGCACAGAATGCCACTTAGAGAACAAGAAAGGTTTGTGTGTCATGGCTGGGGGAGGGTGGGGAGTTGGAGACCACTGATCCTTGGAGTCTCAGGGCCCCAAGAGCACTCAGGCTGCATCAATGACTGGGAGTTGCAGCTTCTCTCTCTTAATGATTTAAGTATGAGATGTCTTATACTCTTTACATTTTGTTTGAAAAATGCCTATTCAGAATGCTAGGACTGTGTACGGTTTAATGCTAGCTTGGCATTTACAGCTAGAGGCTGAAATTGATTATCCTTCACAGTAAGGAAGGTCTTTGGCAATGTGGATACCTTTTCATCATATTTTGGTCACAATGTATTTAAGAGCAAGGGTCACCACAGGTTTGCTTCTCAGAGAGTACCAGGAATGGTGACTGCAGTAGTCATCATGCTGTGCTTTGCACTGTTGTAAGACTTAGAGGTTTTGAGTCACCCTCTGCATGAGAGTCAGCAGTTGTCTACATTTTACAGTTGAGGAAATAGTCAAAAGAAGGCAGGTGAATTGTCCAATTGAAGTAGCAAGTTGATAGAGTTGGAACCAGAAATTAATTCCAGAACCCTTACTGGTTATAGGCTTTAAGTCCACCCACATTGGCCCTTGCCTTCCCTGGGAGCTCACAGTTTAGTAAGGATAGGCAGAGAGAGTACTGAGACATGTGTTATCATAGTGATATGAACAAAGTACCAAAGGATACCTGCTAACTGTATTCTGTATCACATGTCATCAATTTTTTTTATAAGTTCAGTGGGAAAAATTCTGAGAAATGCTTTCAGAAAGTGACATTTGATCTGGGTCTTAAAGGGGTGCATAGGAGTTGGAGGAGGGGATGGAAGGCCTTTCAAACTGAGAGAACAGCTTGGCTTGTAGAGGAACATCAAGTAACAGTTGTCACAAGGGTGTGGGGCAAGAATGGCAGGAATCAAAGCTGGAAAGACAAAATTTGGACTAGACATTGGAGGCTGTGGGGGAACCTTTGGGCTTTCAATCAAGGGAGTGACAGGATCAAATGTGTTTTTTTAGAACTCTTGTCAGCACTTGTGGAAGGTGGATTGGAATGAAGAAAGAGAGAATGAAGGTAGCAAGACCAGTGAGGAGGCTCTAGTAACTGTCCAGGTGAGAGCTGAGGGCTTGAACTAGAGTGTGACCATTCTTCCCTTCATTCAACAGACCTGGCCTGCCTGCCACATGCCCAGCACCAGGTTACAGCAGCAGATAAAACTTGCCTTCCCAGCCAGGCATGGTGGCTTACACCTGTAATCCCAGCACTTTGGGAGCCTGAGGAGGGTGGATTGCTTGAGCTCAGGTGTTTCAGACCAGCCTGAGTAAGAGCAAGACCCTGTCTCCAATTAATAAATAAATAAATAAATCCTTCCCATGACCCCTCTCAGGAGGGAAGAGAGGTATAAAAAATAGCACCACCCACACTAGTGCCCAAAAATGGTGACACATTGTGATGTGAGAGGAGAGAGCAGGCCTGAGAGAGAGAAAAGCACAGAGGTCTGTTTTAAAGTGGGAGGCAAAGAACGTCTCTTGAAGGAAGTGATGTGTTTTAAGCTGAGCCTCACGTGAGGAAGAGGCCAATTAGGTAAGGAATGGGAGCTGAAGCATTCCTGCAGGGAACAGTGAGTGAGGCCCAAAGGTAGGAAAAAACAGGGGACCAAGGGAACCAAACTATAGAGAAGACAGTTTACTAGGGGCTGGGGCTAGGAGTGAAATAAGGGTTTGAGACTGGGGGGCCAGGCATCTTGGGAACTGGTCTAGGTTTGCTTTTTAGCCTGAGTTATGGGACCCCTTAGGAAGGGGTCAGGAGCACAAAGCAGTCATTTCGGTGTTTTCGAAAACTACCCTGGCTACTTCTTGGAGATTGAATTGAAGAGAGATATTAAAAAATCTAAGGCTTCTGACTGTCACTCACTGCGTTAGGTGAGACTGGGAAAGGAGCAGGTATTTAGTAGTGTAGGGAAAGATCAGAGATTCCATTCTGTACTTACTAAGTGTGAGAGACTTGGAGGTAGTTGAATGTATGGATCTGGAGCTCAGAATAAGGGATAAAAAATTGGGAGTTTTCAGCACATGAAGACTAATCACATCCCAAGGGGAGAGGGTCTACAGAGAGAGCATAGTAAGAACAAAGAAGAGTGTCTAGGATTAAGCCTTGATTATACCCCAAGATTCTGGCCATGTCATTCTATTGCTTCCAAAGGAATACTTAAGCAACCAGTTAATTACTACACCACAGTATTTATAGATGTACACCTGCCCTGGTCCTAGGGTTCAGACACCTTAGGATGTCTGCTTGCAGGGTGTAGATCTTTACCTCTCCTCTCATTCTGGGTTGGAAGATGGGTAAGAACAATACCCACCTCAAAGATATGTGGAGAGGATAAAAGGAGTCATTTTGGGCAGCATTTGTGAAGGGCCTGAAGAGAAGCCCTGGGAGAGCTCAGGAACATGTGGAGTAGAGGGGAAACTCCAAGGCCTCCTTTACTGGGAAGGGGCGATAAGGCTGTCTTGGGAAGTGAAATACCAACAGTTTTGAAGGATAAATAATTATCTAAGACAAGAAGGTACAGGCAAGGCAACTCAGGCAGAGAATCAGCACATGTGAGGCAGGGTGTCAGGGACCATTGGTCACAGGTGTGTCGTCTCATCTTATCAAACCACTTTTCTAACCCACCACATGCACACACTCACACCCCCCCAAGATTAATTATTCTGACTCTTTCCTCCTTTACAATGCCTGGTACATGCAAATATAATAAATGTTTGGATGGATGGATGAATGGAATGATAAATTCCAGAAATCCAGGGTGGCGCCATATATCAAGGGTGGCAGGTTCAAACCTGGCCCCAGCCAAACTGCAACAAAAAAATAGCCTGGTGTTGTGGTGGGTGCCTATAGTCCCAGCTACTCGGGAGGCTAAGGCAAGAGAATCGCCTATGCCCAAGAGCTGGAGGTTGCTGTGAGCTGTGATGCCATGGCACTCTACTGAGGGCAACAAAGTGAGATTCTGTCTCTAAAAAAAAAAAAGATTCCAGAAAAAATCCACCTGAGATAAAGATAGATGAATAATTTCCATCTAGGAACAAAGATATTTTAAAAGGTGATATTCCTACCTTCTACCACCACCACCCCAGTCAGGTAAAAAATAAAAATGGTGTGTCAGCGCCTATGGTTCAAGCAGCTAAGGTGCCAGCCACGTACACCTGTGCTGTCAGGTTCAAATCCAGCCTGGGCCCACCAAACAACAGTGATGGCTGCCACCAAAAAAATAGCGTTGTGGTGGGTACCTGTAGTCCCAGCTACTTGGGAGGTGGAGGCAGGAGAATCGCTTGAGCCCAGGAGCTGGAGGTTGCTGTGAGCTGTGATGTCATAGCACTCTACCCAGGGCAACAGCTTGAGGCTCTGTCTCAAA